TACCGACGCTCTGATATTATGCACGCGTGGATAGCATAGCAGACAAATATACACATAGCTGGAAATACAGAGGCCATTACCTGATCATCATCAGCTTCTTCAAAAAGAACAACATTTCTCCTTTCTTTCTTCAGGTAGTCTAATAAGCAACCATTTGCCATGTATGGCATTACAATATATGGGGCAGACCCCGCATCGTTAAGGCACACCCCAATGAGTCCCATCACATGAGCATGCTTGAACCGGCTCATCTTCAGGCTCTCCTCAACAATCTTATCCACTTCTTGTTGGTCAAAACAACCTGTATTCATCAAAATATGAGCTACATGAACATTTTTATTCTGGACCAACCTTTTGGCGTCTTAACAGCCACCTCACGACTAAATGTTCCCTCAGGACCCAGCATAATTATATAGCTTTATACACAACCCCAAACTCTCCTGAATACATTTATTAACTAAAAGTTGAATGTGCATAATTATTATTAGAATTTACCTTGCAAAATGTTACCATTAGGCTGTTGTGTGTGTAATCAGAGAGTCGGTAGACTCTCTATATAGGGACGACACGGGTGAAATCTCACGTGATCCGCGTACAAAACGACTAAAAACTCGATGAGAATCACTCCCTAGGCCTTAAAACATACATATCTACCTATATATGTCCCCCAAGACCTCATACGCACCTTCAGTCGTCCACGCGAGAATTCGCTCATACGAGATTTCACACGATTTTCGTGTCATAATCATATTCTTCATCTTCTTCTTCTTCTTCTTCTTCAGACCCGCTAGCTCCTTACCGGAAGCACTTGAAGCGTTGATTTTTTCACAGAACGTCTCCGAATTTGCCGGAGGTGTGCACGCATATCAAGCGATCGTTTCTTTCTTGCCGCAAGTCCCTACGGTAGATCGTTGAGCTCTTTCTCGGTAGTCACTGAACAACGCCATTTGTTGCTAACTCAGCATCAGTGAGCCGCATGCGCCGAGGAGGGCGTTTTTGACGGGGTCCGCCTGTCTTGAAGGCCACAGTGAAGGGCCTCTCGCGTGCTATCTACTACTGTAGCTAGCCCGTGTCAGACTCTCTGCGAGCTACTTCGCCGAGGGTTTGCACTTTAGTTTATATATCTACGACCATACGTCGTCCAACTGCGCATGCTCCAGCATTACGTGCTTCTTTTTATCCGAAAGGGATTTCAAAATTTTCATATGCTGCCTGAATCGAGCGGAATCGGGGAATCGCAACACGACAGGCTCGAACACCTCCGAAGCTATCGAGAATTGCTGCACAGTCCAGCGACGAGAGAGACATTGCCACTTGTTCCCTATTCCTGCAAGACCAATCAGATTGCCAGATTATGCCTGATTCGCCAGATTATTGCACAGTCCAGCGACGAGAGAGACATTGCCACGAGATTATTGCACAGTCCAGCGACGAGAGAGACATTGCCACTTGTTCCCTATTCCTGCAAGACCAATCAGATTGCCAGATTATACCAGATTGCAAGACCAATCAGATTGCCAGATTATGCCTGATTCGCGCTGTCGTCTGACTGTTTTTGACTCGACTCGAATTGTCGGGTCTAAAAGGTTGTTTCGGCCTACTTGGTCCTGTGCAATGTATCTCACTGTTTTGTGCACACACAAGAGTGACTCATACGATCAGACCCCATTTGTAAGCTCGCTTCCGCTCGCCAAAAATGCCATGCATTCGCCTACTAGTTATATACATAATAATTATCTACGACCGTACGTCGTCCAACTGCGCATGCTCCAGGATTACGCGCTTCTTTTTATCCGAAAGGATTTCAAAATTTCACATGCTGCCTCCCTGTCGTGCGTATATATACATGTGCATATAGTCCGGGGAAGATGCCCTTCGTCGTCGAAGAGAGAGGTAAAGAGAACATGGTGCCCGTGAGACTCCTGAGCAGAGAGGCTAGTTTGTATCAGCGTCGCTTTCGTTATAGGGAACGCGCAAATTTTTACACGCTGCCCTAGCTGTCATATCCATGCGAAATATAACCAGCCAAAAAACTCTCGACTATTTGCTGCCATTCGCTGCGCTCTTCGATACCTGACCGAGGCTGTCTCTACCTCCTTACAATCTTCTTGATTCTAAGGTTAAAGTTGTAGGATGGCTCGTGCAGATTGTGTGCTCGCTCCCGCTCGCCAAAAATGCCATGCATTCGCCTACTAGTTATTGGCGAGCGGGAACGAGCTAACCTATACGAACGGCGCGGATTTTTCTACGACCGTACGTCGTCCAACTGCGCATGCTCCAGGATTACGCGCTTCTTTTTATGCGAAAGGATTTCAAAATTTCACATGCTGCCAGCCTGTGATGTCGTGCTTATACATGTGCGTATTTTATTATTTGTGATAGGCTCTGAGAAAACGACCCTTATGGCGCTAGTAGTATTGTTGTAGTAGCGGCGGTTTTACGGCGAACTACGTAATTCACCGATTCCAGCTTTTCCCCGTATTCTAGTACCTCTGTCTATCGTCCATAACCTGCGCAAGTTTGACGCACTAACTCCGTTCCGTTCCGTAGTTATGGCCCTGGGTACCAGGCAAGTACCGTTACTCGTGCCGTCGTAACGCGGAATTACAAGTAAACGTAACACGGGAATAATCAAACCTTTTACGGGGTCAAGTAAACGGGAATTCCCCTTTACTACGTTTACCTAATAAATGCGGCCGGATGCGCGCGCGCGCGCGCAATGTTGTAACACGGACTTGTTACGAGAATACGGAGGTTGAAATTTGACACCGGAAGTTTACCTTCAGGCGCGATTTTTCACGTTAGATGCAGCGGAATGGCACTTGCGCTTGTGCTCATAACTTCGCAACGGAACGGGCTACGCCCCTGAAACAAACGGCAAACTATAGAGTATTTATAGGACCTTCGGTCTAGCATACAAGCGTATTTTGCGGTTTTTGCGCCATAAGGGTCGTTTTCTCAGAGCCTGTCACATTTTATTATTTTATTTTTTTTTATTATCATTTTTATTTTTTAGTTTTTTTTTCAATGAATCATACACAAATAGCAATAGGCTAGTACATGGTGCATGACTGTATACGAGAATTACATAATCAACCACTCTCTCAAAGAAGACTTGAAGGAAGAAATGCAGTCAGACGATCTTATTGAAAGAGGGAGTGAGTTCCAGACTGAGCATGTCTTTGGTACAAATGAGTTAAGGTACGAGTTAGTCCGACAAAAAGGCTGACAATATAAGTGGTTTGACGAGTGTAAAGGAGTGGTTCTAAGGATAAAGATATCTTGAGGGAAGTGTAACAGCTGGTTGACAATGTTGAACATTGTGCAGAGGTTAAAGTATTTCCGCCGTGTGGCAAGTGTTGGGAGGTCAGAAATAAAAAGAAGAGACGGATAATCAAGATCCCATTGTTTAAAACAGAGACGTAGAGCAAACTTTTGCACTTTCTCCAGTTTCTCAATAATTATCCTTAGTAAGATAAGGGTTCCACACCTGGCAGGCGTACTCCAAAGATGGCCGAATGAGGGAAACATACAGTTTTAAAAGGGTAGATGGAGATGCGTTGGCATAAAAGGTTCTATACATGAGACCCAGTGTTTTCTTAACTTTTGTACACAGGGCATGAATGTGCTCACCCCAGGTGAGATCAGCTGATATAATGACACCTAGGTAGGTATAGTGGTAGACACGAGGAATGGTATGAAAGCCAAGGGTCAGAGTTGGTGGGTTCACTGAGTTCCTCTTCCGTGTTACAACCATGAACTTGCACTTCATTGGATTGAAAGTTAGACAATTGGTAGCAGCCCAGTAGAAGAGGGTATCTAGATCTGACTGCAGTTTTTTTAAAAACCTCATTCTTTCTGATTGCTTTATATAATAAGATGTCATCGGCGTAGAGTGTCATGTGTGTCCCAGGCGAGAACGGTAAACTAGTATATAGCACTGTTTATATAAATGAGGAATAGCAATGGTCCAAGTACAGAACCTTGAGGTACACCAGAGATAGTGTGGATCTCATTTGACTTTTCTCCGTTTACTACAACTCTTTGCACATGATTAGTCAAGTAGTTACAAATCCACTTCAGTAGGATGGGGTGAACTTCCAGCTGCTTCATAACCAGGAGGAGGTTGCGATGAGGAACTGAGTCAAACGCTTTCCGGAGGTCAAGGAAGATTGAGCAGATCTCAATACCAGATTCTAAATATTTATGCCAACTGTCAGTGATGGAGAGCAAAGCTAAGGTTGTGGATCTGCTAGAGAGAAACCCCCATTGGGAGTCAGAAATGAGAGATTTATCCATAATCAGATCTTTCAATAAATTTGCCACACGTTTCTCCAGAACCTTGCTCAGTATTGGAAGAAGAGAGATTGGTCTGTAATTGCAGGGGTTCATTTTATCGCCTATTTTCGGTATAGTCCGGGGAAGATGCCCTTCGTCGTCGAAGACATAGGGAAAGAGAACATCGTGCCCGTGAGACTCCTGAGCAGAGAGGCTCTTTTGTATGAGCGTCGCTTTCGTGATAGGGAACGCGCAAATTTTTACACGCTGCCTAGCTGTCTTATCGATGCGAAATATGGCCGGCCAAACAACTCTCGTCTATTTGCTGCCATTCGCTACGCTCTTCGATACCTGACCGAGGATGTCTATACCTACTTCCAATCTTCGTGATTCTAAGGTTCAAGTTGTAGGATGACTCGTGCAGATGAGTCATTGTGTATATACTCGCTCCCGCTCGCCAAAAATGCCATGCATTCGCCTACTAGTATGTAACGGCGACAGGTAGATCTGTCTTGCTTCACGAAAGGAATGATGTGCGCTTACGGCACGTTATGCAGCCCGAACATCGCGGACAAATCCCAAGTTGGGTCGCTCCCGCTCGCCAACAATGTTGAACATTTCCACTAGCAAAACATTTTGTTGGCGAGCGGGAGCGAGCCAACCTAGTCGTTCGTTCGAGCGGAATTTAATTATGCGTTCGTCGTACGTCGTGTAAGTGCGCATGCACGGCTTTGTACGCGCTTCTCTTTATCCGAAATTATTTCCAACTTTTGCCTCGCGATATGCGCCGATCGATCTAGCCAGCCAGAGAACTCTCCTCCATTCGACGGCATGCTCTGCAACCTTCGGTGACTGACCGAGGCTGTACCTCTTCCGAGTCTTCATGGTTCCAAGCGCTAGCATTGCTCGTGCACATACTGCTGCTTGCCAGCTGCCTGGTGGACCACGCCGCGTTGTCGGGCAGCCCGATCGATCGCTGCCTAGCCTACTGCCATGCCAGCTGCCTGGTGGACCACGACAGACAAGCTGAAAGCGTGAGGTAAGGACCGTTCTGCTCACCGTTCTGGCTACGCCGATAGGTGCATGTACCACTGTCTTGCTTCACGAAAG